GTACCGCTGGCTCCTAACTGCTCACCTGCCTGCCTGCCTGATCACCCCTCACTGCCCCCCCTGCCAGCCTGGTTGCCCCCAACTGCCCCCCTCCCCCGCCAGCCTGGTCGCTTCACGCTGCCTGCTGTCAGTAGTTTGGTCATCCCTCACTAACCCCCCTGCCGGCCTGGTCGCCCCACGCAGCATGCTGTTTGGTTGTTACTGTTACTGTGATGGCATCCCAGACAATTTACATATTCCTCTATTATTAGTATAGATAAATACGCAGTGCCTCCCAATTAAAGAAATGGTATCTCTAAGTCTAAAGACCATCACACAGAAGAAGACCAAAAAGGCATCAAGAACCAAAGGAGAAGGCAAGGGTATCGAGCCCACAACCTGGGCATGTGCCCTGACCGGGAATCAAACCCTGACCTCCTGGTTCATAGGTGGACGCTCAACCACTGAGCCATACTGGCTGGGCTGATCAGTTTTTAAAAAGAAAACTGTAGACTGGAGGGGCTTGGAAGACTCTCAGAAGGTGAAATTTGAATAAGGCTTTGTGGAGTGGTAAGAGTGAGGGGAGAATGTTGGTTTGGAGAAATTTATAGGTATAAATTTATGGGTATAAATTTGACCACATGAGTGGTCCTGTACCTTACCTTGGAATCACACCAGCAGATCTTCCAAAATTTGCTGCCTGCAAAGAAACTACTTACACAAATTCAGGATAGAGGCTCCCTTTGGAGGGTGGAGAACACAGGTATCAGTAACTTCCTATTTCTTTTTTCTGGAAGATGGCTCAAGATTCATTTCATTCTTCAAGCTGCATATACATATTACAGTATGTTCAAGTTTAAAGAATGTTAGTAGCTATGACCAGAAACCCAGCAAATAAAGCAACAAAGGATATAATCCTAATCAGATATGAGTGAGGCTAAAAAGTTTCTCAGGTGGTGAGATTTTAAGTAATTTTCTCCTGTTTCTGTTTTTTATAATTTTATTTTTTTTCATCATATGTATGTAAAATGGGGGGGGGGGCATATTTCAAGTGTCCCAAGGCTTTGGCTGCATGGGCTGCTGTGGAAAAGCAGTGGGTGTGGAAGTGAGGGGGCCCTGGGTCTCAGTGTCCACCCCACTGCTTCTTTATCACTGTGCTTGGGAACATCACCTTCCTGAGAGCCTCCATGTCCTTGCCCATAGGATGGGATGGTAAGAGCTGCCTCCCAGGATGTTCTGGGGTTTAGGGCAGATAGTGGGTACAAAGCACCTGGCACACGGTGCTCAGTAAATACTCATTTCCTCTCATTCCCTGGAGAACAGGTGATTATGTTGTTACAGACTCTTGGTTCTAGGGAAGGACCCTGAGACACTGTTTAATCCAGGGGTCCTCAAACTATGGCCCGCGGGCCACATGCAAATACAAATATTGTATTTGTTCCCGTTTTGTTTTTTTACTTCAAAATAAGATATGTGCAGTGTGCATAGGAATTTGTTCATAGTTTTGTTTTAAACTATAGTCCGGCCCTCCAACGGTCTGAGGGACAGTGAACTGGCCCCCTGTTTAAAAAGTTTGAGGACCCCTGGTATCCAACTTCTTCATTTTGTTCCATTAAATTGTCCTTAATTGCACCTGAAAACAAATTAAAAAATATAGATGAGCTCATGATGCAAAGCATCCTTCTTGGCTCGACTGCACCTCTCCCCACCTGCATCCCACTCGCCAGGCAACCTGTTCTCATCATTCCTGATTCAAGTTCTTCTAGTTATCTCCGTGATGCCTAATAATATGAGGATGACCCCTGTTTCTTCCTTAGCCACTTTAGACAATACTTACAGACTCCCTATTTGGAAAGATGAGATTTTAGCTCATTTATCTCTTTTCACTCTTCCTCTCAATATTTCATTATACTACTTATAATTTCTGTTGTTTTCTCTTGTAACCAGCGATAATATATTTACATTATACCTCTAGTGCAGCAGTAATATTGATTCTACACACTCTCAGTGGACTTCACAGGCCAGTGGCTGGGTGGGTTCCTGGGCAGAGTTGAAGGCCAAGTGTGGATCCTTTCAGACTGAGATTGGACAAGAGGGAGGTCAGCCGTTAGCATTGGCACCCACAGTGGAAGCTTGTTTGGATCCCTGACTCAGGCCTGTGTGTGCTCCACACTGAATTAGACATTAGATAGATAGATGATAGATAGATAGATAGATAGATAGATAGATAGATAGATAGATGATAGATAGATAGAGATATAGATAGATAGATAGATATTATTGATTTCAGAGAGGAAGGGAGAGGGAGAGAGAGAAAGAAACATCAATGATGAGAGAGAATCATCGATTGGCTGCCTCCTGTACGCCCCCCGCTGGGGATCGAGCCCACAACCCGGGCATGTGCCCCTGACTAGAATCGAACCTGGGACCCTTCATTCCGCAGGCTGACGCTCTATCCACTGAGCCAAACCACCTAGGGCTGAACTAGACATTTTTATCATCGCTATGGCCTCAGCAAACAAATGCCAAACAAATACCTCCCAAGAAGGTGTTGCAGAGTATGCAGCCACCTCACTATGCAAATGGCCATGTAACGCCTCCTCTGGGAGCTCCTTGGCAAATGTTTTCCCACCTTTACCAGGACACCACATCCTTGTGTCTTTCCTCACCTTCATTAACAAATGGCATTGCCAGGTAGAGAACACACAGGAGGCATGCCAGCATGAAGCATCCTTCCCAGGAACCTTTGGAGTCCTGAAGTTTGCAAACTTGGCATGGTGGTGGGGAGGAGAGGGGTAAATGGAACACTCTTGTCTCCCCCAAAGAAATCTGAAGTGGAAGCTCATCATGTAAAATGGATCAGTCAGCAACATTGCCTCTTTTCCCATCTCCCAAATGTCTCCCAAGATCAATTTCACCCACATTAACAAAACACAAAGTGGATAGTTCATACAACGGGCAGCTTTTCTAGTAACAAGACATTTCTAGGAGCAACTAAAATTTTGGAAGCAAACAAGAAAGATAAAAAACTTGGCAGTGGGGTATCTGCTTGGATACTTCAGCAGTTCCTCATTGCCCTTCAAATAAAATCCAGGCTTCATACCATGCCTATGAGGCCACACATGAACTGGTCCCTCCCTACCATCAGGGCCTCAGACTGGACTATGATTCCTGCATCACTTTACTCCAGTTGACTTTCTGCCCCAGGCCCTTTGCACTGGAATGCTCTTACCTCATACCTACATAGCTTGCTCCCTCACTTCATTCCATTCTTTATTTAAATGTGTTTGCCTCAAAAAAGATTTTTACCTAACCACCTTCTCTCAAGTAGTCCCTTCCCCAGTCACTCTAGCTTATTACCCTATTGTGTCTTATCACTATGTGAAATTTCCTGATTTATTTACCTTTGTTTATCTGTTTCTATGAACTAAACTGTAAATGCCATATGAGTGCAAAGATCTAGTCTAACTTGTTCAACATCATATCTGCAAAACCTAGAACAGTGCCTAGTGCTCAATACATATTTGCAAGATGAATGGATATAATAGTATTCTTGTATTTGGAGGATTGTCATATAGATAAATATACTCATTTACATACTCATCTAAGAAACATAAGGGGGAAATATTCATTCACTTAATAAATAATTGAGAAACTATTATGTCCTAGGCTCAAAAATGAATTGGGCTGCCCCCAGAAGTTCTGAGCTATTGATTACTGGAGGTATAGAAGAGTAGCCTGAATGTTATCTTAAAAAAGAAGTTATTAAATCAGTACCTAGGCCTCTATCATAAGGAACTAGAGAAAGAAAAGCAAATTAAACCCAAAGCAAGCAGAAGAAAGAACATAATAAAGATAAGAACAGGAATCAGTAACATTGAAAGCAAAAACTATAGAGAAATATGAATGAAACTAAAAGCTGGTTCTTTAGGGGGGGAAAAATCAATGAAATTGATAAACCTCTAGCCAGACTGACCGAGAGAAAAAAGAAAAGACACAAATTACCAATACCAGGAATGAAATAGGGAGATTACTATAGATCCCACAGACATCAAAGGTCTACTGCAAGCAACTCTATGTCCACAAATTAAACTTAGATAAAAGGAGCAAGTCCTTGAGACACACAAACCCCCAAACTCACTCAGAAATATCGATAACCTGAATGGTCCTATTACTAAAGAAATGTTATACCTAGTTTTTTAAAAATATTTTTTTATTCAGAGAAGGAGGGAGAGGGAGAGAGAGAGAAAAACATCAGTGATGAGAGAGAATCATTGATTGGCTGCCGCCTGCACACCCTCTACTGGAGATCGAAGCCACAACCAGGGTATATGCCCTGACTTGGAATCAAACCATGACCTCCTGATTCATAGGTCAATGCTCAACCACTGAGCCAACCAGCAGGGCTATACCTCGTTTTTTGTTGTTGTTTTTAAAGCTTTCAGCAAAGAAAACTTCAGATGCAGATGGTTTCACTTGTGAATTGTAACAAACACTTAGGGAAGAAGTAATACTGATTCTACACCCTCTCTCCCAGAAAATACAAAAGGGTAATCTCTTCCCAACTTATCTTATGAGGTCAGCATCATCCTGATTAGTGAGTTGGAGGGTTGGCCCAGCTAGCTCCTTTGAACCCACAGGCCTCACAACCAATGAGACAAACACAGTCTGAGGTCCATTATCTCTGCTTGATCCCGCTGTCACTCATTCGAATTCTTCAGCAAACTCCTTATAAGATTATAATGAAAATGTGCTGCACACTCATCGTGTGCCAGGGACTTTGCTATGAAGTTATGAATTCTCTCAATCAATCCTCACAGCAGCCCATTAAAATGGGTACTATTCACATCTTCATTTTGCAGATAAATAGTCTCAGAGAGACTAATATCCCACAGCTAGCAAGTAAAGTGGCAGGATTTGAATTCAGGTCTGGCTGACTCCAGTGCTCAAATTTTTAGGAATGAAAATTCTTTCTGGTTTAAAGTGATTTTTTAAAAATTTCCCTCCATCTCTGTTTGCAGTCTCAGGAGGAAGTCTGTGATTTGCTCCATGCTGCGCCCTTCCAAAATATCTTGCCGAGAGTCTACATCAAAGGTAAGAAAGCACTAACAGCCACTCAGTAGCCAACTTGATTTTGAACTTTATGCTTACTTAGTCCCAATAAACCAGATCTGCAGTCAGAAAGGGAGATGGTTAAAGCTTTGGGCAGCTATGAAATGGTCACAGAATGGTAGACTTGGATGGTGCTCCAGGCCTGTTTCTTCGTCCTTCTGGAACATCCCTAGCCTCTTGCTGTCTAGCCTGGGTTTGAATCCTTCGAGTGATGGGGAACTCTCATCATCCCACGAGGTAGATGATGCCATTGCTGGACAGAGAGAATAGAATCTTTTTCCTTATAGTGAGTCCTGATCACACTCACCAAAAACAAGGAGAACAGTTCTACAAGCTCCATCCAAGTTTTAGAATGCAAATAGGTCGCCGCATCCTCTGGGAGTGTCCCTTCCCCAGGTCCCCCTGATGTGGCCTGAATCTCACTCTCTGCCTACTGCTCCTTTGACAGAGGGGGAGCGTCTGGAAGTCCGGATGAAACGCCTGGAAGCCAAGTACGCCCCGCTTCACCTGGTCCCTCTGATAGAGCGGCTGGGGACCCCTCAGGTACGATCCTTCACCGAAAGGAGCTTTAGAGGGAGAGCATTTGGTCCAGCCCCTCCTTTTACAGGGAAACTGAGGCCCAGAGAGAGGAAGAGATTGTCTAACCACAAAGCCTGTTAGTGGCAGGGCAGGTCTGGAGTGAGATTTGCTGGCTCTCAAGCTGAGTTCTTCCTTCCACCCCCTGTGTCCTCCATGCTGCCAAGAAAGAAGGAAGCCAGACAAGTACCCATGATGCCCTGTTCGGTTTCGAGAGTTCTGCTCTGTCATCTCTCAGAATTAAAACTCCACACACCCTGTGAGCCAGCAGCCTACGTCTGCACATCTTTGCCAGGGAAACGCTTGCAGAAACCAGGTGTTGACTGCCGTGTTGTTCATTAAAGCAAAAGCTAGAAGCAACCTAAATGTCAGTCAGTGCAGGGTTGACTAAACAAAAAGAGGTGACGTCATCTAAATGCAGAGCGCTCGTAATGTAATCATGAAAAGGAAAATTCGATCCGGGTGCATCCGTGTGGCTAGATCATAAGCACGTGGCTGGATGAATAAAGCAAGTTGTTACACCACAGCTCATACAGTTTGATGCCATTTGTACATTTTTAACCTCCCCCCCACACACACACACACAAAAAACCCATATAAGTAAAACTTTTCCTAGAAAATGATGCACATCTAGGTCAAAATGGTGGCAAGCCCTGAAGAAGATGAGAGACAGAGATGGGGGGATCAAAGACCAGCCTCCTTTGAGATGCTCGAATGGTATCAAAGGTGAATGGGCATGAATTCGGCAACTGATTTTTACAAACCAGTGGCTTTGAATGTGAAGACGACTAAGACAGGAACCCCTGCCTTCAGAGAACTCACAGACTGTGCAGGGGGTCAGGACAGAAGGGAAATGGGGAGAAAGAGAGACAAGAAAACCGTGTGCTGGACCAGGGCAGGATTCAGGAAGAAGAGAGACAGGGCACCAGAGGGAGCCAGGCCAAGATGGTGCGTTTTGGTCGCCAAAGCTCACTGTCAGAGGGTTAGGATTCAGCTCGCTCTTGGGCTTGCATTCCTGTGGTCCTCTGTCCTGTGTGTATCTGAAGACTCACACTCTGGGGTCTTCTCTTGAAAAGCACAGCAAGCATTTGGGGCAAATTGCAGAGCCGATCCGCCCCGGTGTCACCCTGATGCGCCAGACCCTCTGCATGCCACCCACCTCCTCCTGAAAACGTGACTAACCGTTCTGTGGGCAGGCTCTTTGAGTCACCCCTCAGGGAGTTCAGACACTGTGCAGGGCGCACACTTTCTTTCCCGGCCTTCAGGGGCTGAACAGAGGAGACCTCTAACGATTTCCTTTTAGGGAGAAATCCCCCAGGCCGGCAACATAGCAGTGTGCCTGCCCCTCAGCTGGTGTCATCCTACAAGAATCCGGGCCCTCGCACCGGGCTATGGCATGCGTTTCCACTCAGAGCGCTGGATTCCTGCCCTGCTCTGGCCAACACCATTTCCTGGGGACCGATATAAATCGCAATTTGTCAAACGCTGAGTATTGTATAAACAAAAGCCTAGACAGTCTGCAGGAGAGGAAATGCCAGTTTTACAAATCTGCCGGCCCTCAAGAAAGAGTCCAAAACTGCTCATCCTGTGGGCCCAAGAAGAGTTAACTAAATATTAACTTCTGAGCTGGCTGGGGTTTGGGGGGCTCATGTAATACAGGGTGAGGCAAAAGGAGGTTCATAGTTGTTCATATGGAAAATTATACAATAATGAATAAGTAATAATACAAGAATAAACTCTGTGTTTCGCTTCCTCACAACTATACACCTCCTTTGCCTCACCCGTATCTAGGTTGGTGACGGCAGTTCTGCTACATATTCAAGGTCAGGAGGTTTTAACATGATTGCATCACTTGCATTGGTTTCTGGGACACATTGAGGTGACCTGACTTGTTGCCCAGTGCTGTCCTGGAAGGAACACTCCGGCAGAGGATCAAAAGACAGGGGTCCTGGTCCCAGCTTCACCCCTGCATTGTCACATAACATAACGCTAGACAGAATTCATAGTCTTTCTGCAGACTTATAAACCCCCTTGCTAATTTTTTAATCCCCCCACAATTGTCAAGCCTTGAGGATTGATTCAGACTAACTAAATGCACAAGAGATTAATTAGTCATTCAGAACTCTCTGTATGAACTTATGAAGGAGAATATTCCTGACTCAAGATCCTGTATTTATTTATGAACATCTTCACTGTCCTGGGCACTCCCCTTCTGAAGGGAAGAACCAAATGCCAGCCTGGCAGAGAGTTGCCTGTGAGAACGAATCAAGCCTCAGGCCCAGGATTCTGTAAGAGCGATTCCTAGTTCACCGTGGCAACTTGAGTGCTCCCTTCCCTGCTCAGGAGCTGCCTTCTCTGCCCACAGAATCAAGATGAGTCCCCTTGAATCAGGGTTCCCTCTCCTTCCTGTTTGAAACAAATGTTGTGAAACTCTTCTTCCCCAATTCACGGTTTATTTGGAGACTTCTTTCAGCATGTTGTTGTCATGACAACTGCAATCCTGGCCCACAATATCCTAACAGGCTCCCACAGTGGTGTTTCCTGATTTATTTCCCTCCACAGATTAATTGAGAGGTTGTCCTCTTCCTGGGGGCTCCAGGGTGAGAGCTTGCATCAAGAAATCAGGCAGGCCCCTCCCCACCAGGCTCCCTGTACAATGAGCTCTCTGGGGAGACCACCGCCTGGGGAGCCCATCCCACAAGTACCCTGTGGATCTTTTGGTCTTAGAAGCCACCCTCTTTAGCTTTGTGCCTAGATTTGGAGACCATACTCTGACCTTAGATGTTAACATCTCTCGTACTTTGCACATGGCTTTTGAGACCTGTACCGCTATTTTACTCGGCACTCAGACAGTAATGCGTCTTGATGTGCTGGTCTAGCCACCCGATGGCCAGGGATTCAATAAGCAGACGCCAGGTGAGAGCCAGTTTATGTTATTAATAGAGATCATTTACAGTGGTCAGAGGACTTCTAGCTAGAGGAATTCTGGGAATTCAGCGGCAAATTTTCAGAGTAACATATGCTCATTGTAACACATTCAACTGTACAGAAGTATTTAAAGTAAAAAGGGAAACTCATCCACTTCGTCAAGCCCATCTGTTCTCACAACTGATGTTAATCCTTCTAACCTTCTAAAATGTTTTACACACACCCCACACAGAGTTGTGTGTGTGTCTGTGGGCTTGTGTGTTATTGATGTCTTTTCATAGGATTACAGTATATGTCCTTTCCTACAACTTGCTCTATTCACTTAACAATTTAACCCACGGACCTACCAGGATTCAGAGCCTCACTGTATCACTCACTGGCTGCCTCCCCGAACCCCAGTTTCTTCATCTGTAAAATGGGAATAATAATGGCACATACTGCACAGGGTTGGTGTACGGAATAAATGAAATCAATACTTATCAAGTGCTTAGAACAGGGCCTGCTATGTTACACACTCAGTGAGTATGAGCTAGAAGTCAATAGCACCGTAGTAGCAATCATACCGTTAGTAGGATCGTCTGTCTTTTCAGTGTCTACCTAGCATTTCACTCATTACATGGGTGTATCAAAATTATTTAAAACTGTTCCTCTATCCATGGCTCCTGGACTTTACTTACTACCAGACTTCCCTGCTGCTGCGCTCAGGTTTACAAAGTTAATGCCCTGCTATGGGTAAGACGTCAGTTCTGGTGAATGAATTCCAGGTATAACCAGCTCCAGCATTTGGGAATCTCTGAGATGTAGATAGAAGGTTTATATATACGCTTCTGTCCCCAGCAAATTGCAATCGCTCGGGAGGGCGACCTGCTGACCAAGGAGCGGCTGTGCTGCGGCCTGTCCATGTTCGAGGTCATCCTGACCCGCATTCGGAGCTACTGCAGGAGACCCTTTTGGGCAGGGGCCCG